CACACCCACACCCACACCCACCCACACCCACACCCACACCCACACCCTCTGTTCGTCATTTCATTTCATTTATTTCAGATGACTATCCAAATCCATCGATCAACTGGAAAAGATGCCATCTTTTACCATAATCGTTAAATAGATAAATCTAATGATGATTATAATGTTCAGCAAAAAAGCTTCCTAACGACCACTATTGATAATTCCGAATCAAACCTGATGCGCCTAATCGAGCTCAAATAAAACATTTTCAGTTCAGTTTATTACTATCTTTTTGAAAGTAACTGTGTAATTGATTAAGAATTGGTTCTTTTTGTACGAATCGATAGATTAATAATAAACTACCTGATGATTGACAGTGGAGTGACTGTCGAAACCGGGCATGGTAACTCTTTACTCACACTCACTCTCACCCTCAATTTTCAGGCTTTAATTATCAATAGTGTCAGAGATCGGACTATTTTTACACACATCTTAATTAATTAATTGTGTCACACAAAAGTGAGACCTACTTGTCCTTTCAATTTTATTTGACTGTTTCTATGACAGTCTATATATACAGGTGCTTTCCATAATTTTTATGGTCACAGTCCGTCAAATTCGTATTTACATAATAAATAATAATTATTGTTGCCGTAATATCTGTTTTTTTCATGGTGATAAAACACTTCTCATCTCTACATTACATTAAAAAATATTCTGATAAGCGAAATACATCCTCCATAAATTTTTCTTTTTGATATTTGGGTATTCCCCACTCATAATAATATGTGTCAGTGTACGTGACCAAATGTTTTGTTCCTCTAATAATGCAAAATGGGAAGAATTATGAAAAAAATACAATTTTCAATACCAAATAATAATAATCGTATTTTTCTAATAGCTCTGATCATAATGATAATTACGAAGTGACCCAATGTAATAAATTCAACATTATAATAACAACTATCAACCGAATATTTATTCTTTCAAAAATTTCATCAACTTAAACAGATAAGTAAAATTTGCACTGAAACTGCGTAATAAAACTCTTATTTGTTTATTCCAAAAATTCGGAGAAAATTCTCACCTGATCATCTATACCAAATATTTTTAAAATATTTATTTATTATTTTTTCCTAAAACTGATCCTAGATAAACATCAGTTTTTATAATTCTTAATATCCAACATCCAAGCAAAGACCTAGATGAGCCAGACAATAGCTGGATCGAGGTATTTCTTTATATTTAACACACCCAAAGTTAATATAAGAAATTTTGTTTTATTCAAAATAATGAATTTTTCATTAAAATTTGAGAGATTTTTTCAATTTTCTGGATTTATCTCCGAATTTAATGGATGTTTGTTATTTTGTTATACAGAAATAAAAATCTCCTGATGAGCCGTAGAAATTGTGATGAAATTCGGATCGAGGCATTTCTTTATATTTACCACACCCACACCCAAACGAAAAAAATTCATGGTGTTGTTCAAGCTGTCGATGCTAAGACGATGGAAGCAATATGTCGATCCTTCCATAGATACATTGAAAGTATTGCATCAGTTTTATGAAACAATATTGGGAATTTAAAAAGAATGATTTAATACAAATATTAATGGTTGGTATTCAACAAGGTTGTAGTGGGAAAGGTAAGAGTAAGAAAGATTTACGGAAATCAAAACAATTTATTCTAATATCCCATAGGATTTGTTACGAAACTTCATCAGATTCTGTTCGATCGTTGTCGTCAACGTGGATTTAAACATATATTTGTTGAAGTTGCAAACCCAGCTACATATTATATTTACACGAAGAAATTCAATGGAAAAGAATTTGCATCAATTTCTTTATCAAAATTTATCTCGAATGATGGTCGAAGACCATTTGAAGGTTATGATGGCGAGATACAGTTAATTGTTTTTGATCTATAATAGAAAATATTATTGAGTTATTTTCGATTATCTTATCTATGTTTTTTGGCATTTAACTTGTGCGATGCCATGAAAATGTTATTTGTGTCAATCCAAACGATGGCACCTTCTCTGGCTTATGCACGTTGATCGAATGTTTTTTATTGTTCCATCCTCTCATCGAGTGATGATATTACACCTGGAGAGTGGCATTTTCATGTAACGGGATACTGGAGGTTCCGAGTACTATATAAAGGACAAGGAGTATTTAGTATGGATGCGATTTGGTGAATTAGAATAAAAGTATATACACACTCGGTCTACAGTTCTCATACTCTGTTCAGAAATCGTGACACATGTTACGTTTAACTATATTCAGTACAATCGTATGTATCTGTTTAATAATTGTTGATTTATCTTCTCAAGCATCATTTCTTCTGCCTTGTGATTGCGGATTTTTTGTTTCAAACAAATGTACACAATCAAATCTTCCACGAAAATCACAATCGGATGCATGTAGTACAGACTATTGTCTTTCAATTCGATTGAATAAGTATCGTAATGCAGATCAACAAAGACAAATGAGTAGCGAAGATAAACGAAATACAATTATAGTTGAATTGAATAAATTAACAAAAGCATCAATTAGATGGTTACAAAAACGAGATAATTGTGGTTTATTGGAAATATTTATTGAATATGAATATGCACGGAGGTTTTTAACAAAAGGAGCAAAGAAATTAGTAAAACGTGTTTTTCGTCAAACGCCACCAAGTAAAAATCAACTTCATATTTGTACACATGTTATTGCTCAATGGACATATGATGCCCTTCGTTCAAATATGCCATCAGGTATGTTGAAATACAAGAATTTGTAACTATAAGTTTTGCCATTTGAAATATTGATAACTAATCGTAATATGTTGTGATAAAAGATTCTAATAAGAGATATTTATCTGTATTTAGGTACATTGGTACGAGGAGATGCTGCACATAAAAGTCAAGGTGCTAGAATTGATAATCAAAGTGGCGTTGTTCGACATAATAATATGAATTATTATAATATTCAAGTTCAAATGTTTGGGGATACATTTGCTACTGTAATGGTACCAGCTGCAGTCAATATTGGCCGTCGTAAAATACGAAATGCACTTGTTGAAAGTCTCAAAAGAAATAAACAAGTTATCATTTCTCCAGGAAGTACACGACAAAATTCCTGGTGGCTTGGAGTAATGTCTGCTGTCGGTGGTATTATCGCATTATTGGCAGCATAAACAAAATCTAGACTCTTAACTAGTTAGATATTATGTTTCATTTTCATATTTCATATATCATAATCTGGTATCTATATAATATATTTTGTTGTAATCGTATACAGCTCCTCTTATCTACATACAGTAGATCTAAACAAAATAAATGAGGTGAGGGTGTGAGTAAAACTACCACAATACTTGGAAGTATTTCACTTTTGTTGATATTAGATTATCAAGTGGCAAAGTATCAGTACAATGATTTAAGAAAGAGTGTAGGTGTGGATGGGTGTGAGTGTGGGAGGGTGGGTGTGAGTGTGGGAGGGTGGGTGTGGGTGTGGGAGGGCGGGTGTGGGTATGGGTATGGGTATACAGAAAATGAATACTCACACCCACACCCACCCAAACCCACACTCACACCCACACCCACACCCATACCCACACCCACCCATACCACACACCCACTCCCTCAAGACAAAGAATTTCATATGGCAAAAATATTTTATTGAAGAAAATTTGGTTAGTGATGCATCTATATAAAGCGAGAGAGAAAGTAGCTAGATACAGAACGAAGAAAAGTGTTTGTAAAATATGTATTTGCAGAAAAAAGAAAAACTGAGACGTATATGACAGAAAAGAAGTGAACTACTAGACACAATAAAAAAAACAAAGAAAGGCAGGTGGTAAAACAGAGAAAATTGAACTAGCTACAAACTTATAGGTAAATTTCAGAACTGTCTTTCTTGTTCGTAGAGATGTGAGACCATTATACAAATGAATATTTCTTAAAGGAGTATAAATCTTAGCCAGTAAAACCAGCATTCTATTTAAGAAGAGCATAGATTTACAATCAAAACTGTCTAATCAATAGAAAACTTATAGTTGCATGGTATATGAACCACTATTACAAACCTTCTTTTCGAGTATATTATAGGCTACCTGTTTAGATTTCATAGTTAACTCTACAAAGAAATTACATAACTGATGAATTATTTCTCTGCACGTACTAAGATCAATGAATTCAATTATATAACTCAGATCTAAGCCGTGCTTTTTAAATACAAATATTATCAAAATTACATATGAAACAAATGATCATAACAATCAATCAGTTCAAATATACTAATATTTAGAAACAAAATTTTCCACTTGATTCTTACATCAAAAGATTCCATGAAAAAAATGAATAAGTCATATAAAACTACTCTCCAATTATATTTTGTTGTTTTGAAAGTAAGCCGTTCATTTGGTAGTATAATTTAACACTACATGTTACATGAACAATTTTCATAAGAAGCGTATTCTATAATTTTGTTCATTTCCTATTTAAAATCTCAAGAGAATAGATAATCCAAGATTACATAGCAAATACATCTACCCAATCATAGTTATGTTCAAGTATACTGCTCACTTCTCAACTAAAAACTTACGAGGATAAGAGAATCGAAGATTACATGGGAAGTGTATCATTCTAAGGATAGTCATGTTCAAGTATATTGCTCATTTCCAAACTAAAATATAAGAAGAATACGATGATCAATAATTTACATGGTAAGTGTATCATTCTAATAATAGTCATCTTCAGGTATATTGTTCACTTTCAAGCTAAAATATGAGGAGGATACGATGATAAAAAATTACATGGTAAGTGTAAGATTTTGAAAATAGTCATATTCAAGTATATTGCTTCTCTTCCAATGTGAAATACAAGGATGATAAGATGATCGCATATTGCATGGTAGACGTATCGTTCTTATTAAAGTTGCGTTTAACTTCATTGCTTACTTCCAAGGTGAAACATATAATGAAATTAGATACCTGTAGAGCCCAAGGTAGATGAATTATTATAATCAAGAGAATGTTCAAAAAAGATACTCTCTTCGAAACAAACATAAACTGTATGTAATGCCCTTAGAATAGACGGCAGCTGTCTGATTTTTATAAATATTCTGTCCAATTCTGTTGCTTTCCAGTTAGCCAAGATTTCAGTTCGTATCATGATAACAGGTCATCTCATAAATGAAGACTGGTTAACATAAATCTGTTCTATTATAACGCTCAGTTTGCTGCAAACTTCTGAAGCGAGTGATAAAATCGAAAACTACGCTTCTGGTTAATCATCCAAACAATCATTCTATTCAATCACGATGCTCATATACAGCTAAACTTCTTCCTCTAGTTCCAGTACGTAAGATTCCGTGATAAGTCAATAAACAAACAAAATGTCTGCCCGTGAATATTGTTTACTTCCAAATCAAAACGTAGCATTTCAACAATAGTTGAACATTATATGCCAAGTGAATATCATTTGCACCAGAGTCATTTTCAAGTATATTGCTCACTTCAAAACTAAAATATCAGAAGATATGATGAGCAAAGGTTGCAATGTAAATGTACCAGTCTAAGTATAATTATGTTCAAGTATATTTCCTACCTCAAAGGTAAAATATACGGTGGATAAGATGATCAAAGATGACATACTAAGTGTATTATTCTAAGTAGAGTTATGTTCAAGTATATTACGCACTTTCAAGTTAAAGTATGAGATGAATAAGATAAACCAATATCATACATACACAGTATAATATTGACAACTGTTATATCCATCAATATTCTCAGATTCACGTGCAATATTACCAAATAATAATGTTGTCTAAGATTGAATAGCAAATGTATTATTCCAAGAATACTGATGCTCAACTATATTGCTCATTTGCATGGTGAAATATAAGGAAGACGAGATGATTGAAGATTACATACCAAGTGAATCATTCTAACCATAGTCATCTTCAAGTATATTTCTCACTTCCAAGCTAAAATATAAGGAGAGTTAGACGATCGAAGTTTGCATGGCAAGTATGTCATTCTAAGTATACTCATGCTCAATTATATTGCTCATTTTCAAACTAAAATATAAAGAGAATAAGTTAATGAAAAATTAGATGGAAAGTGAATCACTTTAATAATAGTCAGATTCAAGTATACTTCTCACTTCCAAGCAGAAATACAAGAAGGATCAAAATGATCGAAGATTGCATGCTAACTGTATCATTCTAACGGCTATAGATATGTTGAACTATACTATTCACTTCTAGGCTAAAATATAAGGAGAATAAGATGATCAAAGACTGCATGGCAATCGTATCATTCTAACTATGGTCATATTGAAGTATACTATTCACTTCTAAGCTAAAATATAAGAAGAATAAGGTGATCGAAGATTACGCGGCAAGTTTATCATTCTAAGCATAATCATGTTAGAGTATAGTGCTCACTTCAGACTTAAAAAAATAAGGAGAATAAGATGATCCAAGATATTACGTGGTAAATATATCATTCTAAGGATAATCATGTTCAAGTATATTGTTCACTTCCAAGCTAAAATAAAAGGAGAAAAAGATGATCGAAAATGATTTGGCAAATGTATCACTGTAATTATGATCATGTTTAAGTATATTGCTCAGTGCTAAGTGACGATATGGGGTATGTAATATAAACGAATATTACCCATACAATGTGTAATATTGATAAATGCTCTCTCCAATAATATTATCAGACTCATGTGTAATGTTGCCATATAATAATATTATCGAAGGTGACATTGCAAGTGTGTCATTCTAAAAATAATCATGTTCAAGCATATTGCTCACTGCCAAGCTAAAATATAAGGAGGATAAGATGATAAAAGATTACATGGTAAGTTTATCATTTTAACCATTGTCATCTTGAAGTGTATTGCTCATTTCGAAGTTAAAATATAAGGAGAATAAGATGATCGACGACTACATAGTAAGTGTATCCTTTTAAAAATAGTCATGTTCAAGTATATTGTTCAGTTCCAAGTTAAAGTATAAGGAGGATAATATGATCAACAATTAAATGAGAACTGTATCATTCTAAGTATAGTTGTATTCAAATATATTTCTCACTTCCAAACTAAAATATATCAGGATGGTATAATGAGCAGAGATTTCATGGTAAATGTACCATTCTAAGAAGCATAGTCATGTTCAAGCATATTGCTCATTTTCAAGCTAAAATGCAAGAAGGTTAACATAATTGAAGATTCCATGGTAAGTGTAACGCTCTAACTATCATCATCTTCAAGTATATTGTTCATTTCGAAGTAAAGATATAAGGAAGATACGATGATAAAAAATTACATGGTAAACGTATGATTTTAAAAATAATAGTCATATTCAATATATTGCTTATTTGGAAGTGGATACGTGTGGTTTGCTGCACGACCTATTGTTACATGTCTATTGTTTCCTTTCGACGAAAACTATGTTCTAAGATATTGTTCAGACCGAATCTTATATTCCAATCAGTGACCTGATGAATGATTATACTGTCAATGAATATTTCTTACCAATGTTCCATCTGTGTATATTGTATACGTCTAATCAGAGGTTAGCACTTGGTAATTCCATTGAGATTACATGATATATGATGAATTCTAAGCAAGATTACATTCAAGAATATTACTTTTTTTGACGAAAAGAATTCAAATTGCTCGTACAATCGATGATTATATAAAAATTGAATGATCATGACAAAATCAGTATTCAACTATATTTGGAAACTCCTCATCAAAGATTGATATATGGTTATATGATTCAAAGGCTACATATCAAATGTATATCTTTTATAAGAACTCTATGCCAGTATATTATCCATTTCGCAATACATCTTTTGCATATTGTATGAAAGCAAACATTGCATATCTAACGAATCACTTTTAGTAGTTCTCTGTTCGATATATTAATCACTTTATAACAAATGTTTGCCATTTGTATGATCATCAAATATCACATGCCTGTTGGATCATTTTGAGACGAATACTGTTCCAATATAATGCTCATTTTGAGATGCATGTTAGTGATTACTTGTTGGATTATAAAATACATAGCTAATGAATCATTTTTAGCAGGATTCTGTTCCAATATATTATTTGTTTCAAAAGTAAATCTCTGCAGATGTTAACGAGTTTTATAATTAATTGATAGATGAAATATTCTCAG